TTTCAGTAACATCCTCAAAATTAAAAAATCTTTAAAAAGAAAATTTGGAAATGAAAATTAATTAAAATTACCTTCAAAAGTGATATTAAAATATTTTTCAAAACAAAATATTCAAAAATAGCTTAAAAAATTCTATTAAAATTCTTTTTAAAAGAGTAGGGGAATGTAGTCAAGGTTGGCCTACTGTCTAGGTAGGCCACTCGCGTTTTTTTGTCAAGTTCACTAGCGCCACCTACGCGCATTTTTGTCGAAGCTTGTCTTAGTGAAACCTAACTTTTTGTTCAATTACATTTTCGGAAAATCGAAAATTGTGTTTTCTGTGACGTCGGTACAAAAAAAGCTCAAAAAAAGTTTTGTGCATAATGTGAAAAACCATTAATAAAAGATAAAAAACAAATTGAATCATCAAGGCAAGTATGCAGAAAATTTGTGGGACTCATGGTTGAAAGGAAAACAAAGTAAAAAATCGAATCCCGAAACGTATTTCTTTATGGTTACAACAATTCGGTAATGTTACTTACTGTCAAGGTCGGCCACTATGTGTTTAAAATGCGCAAAGTTGAGGACGAGCTACTTCATTTGCAAAAACTGCAATTCTGTATAACTCATAATATAATTGATCATCTTATTAATATTTTTATTTAATTTTATTAATATTTTAGTGCAAAACTTTTTTTTATTTATATTTATTTTTTTATATTGTTTATTGTTATTATTTTGTTATTTCATTAAGTTACAAACTGTAAACAATAAAGAATCAATTTTCCGTAACTCCAAACATGTTATTTTATTTTTTAACGATTAATGCCCTTTGAATTTTAAACATGGCCGACCTTGACTGTAATGGCCAACCTGGACTACAAATTTTTTTTTTTTTAAATCTTTATAACTTTTTCATTTTTAAACCTGTCAATTTACTTTGTACAGAAAAAATGTTCCTATTAAACAGGACTTTCCAACCATATACTTCAATTGTCCAAATTCATTTTTAAAAAAAAGTTATAAACAAAAGTCAAAAAGGTGGCCGACCTAGACTATGTTCCCCTAATTAATAGTATTTTTTAAAATTAAAATTTTTTAATTATTCTCAATATTTTCAATTAAATAATATAAAAATTCAAATGTCATGAAAAAAAATTAAATTTTATGAACATTAAAGATTTTTGAAAATCTAACATCAATAATTTTAGAATTATTAGTAAAATTTTGAAAAATGAATAATATTCAAAATTTTTAATTAAAATTCATTGAAGAATTGATTAGTTTTCAAATTATTCAAATTTTATTTAAGAAATTCAATAATTTTCGAAAAATTACATTTGAATATTTATAGAAAACTAATTTTTTCAATTTTTTTCACAAAAAGTAAATTAATTTTTTTAAAATCTCCGTTTTAGACTTACCTTAAAATTTTTCAGAAATCAGTTGTTTTTATACGTTTGCAATTAAAATTGATTATTTTTTAAATATTTACCGGATATTTTTTTCCAAAAATTCAATTATTTTCATAAAATTTTACTAATTTTTAATTATGTGAAAAATTTTCAATTCTACTCAAAAAGTATTTTAACGGAATTCAAATGCTTTAATAATTTGAAACTATTGCATTTTTGTACTTCTAATTAATTCTTCAAAAAATTGACTATTTTTTAAATATTTGCCACATATTGTTTTTCAAAAATTCAATTATTTTCTATAAAATTTAACTAATTTTCAATTATTTGGAAAATTTTCAATTCTACTCCTCAAAAGTTGTTCCAAAATATTTTTAAAAAATTTATCTTATAACGGAGTTTAAATAATTTAATAATTTGAAACTATTTTTGATTTTTAATTAATTAGTTAATTAACTTTTTCTTGAAATACTTTGAAATTGATTACTTTTACTAATTAGATTAAAATTTTTTGTTACTGATTTTATTATTTTATTTGTCAAATTTTTTACATTTTAATTTACTGACGCAGTTGGAATAATTTAATAATTAGAAAGTATTTTTAATTTTCAATAAATTAGTTAATTAATTAATTTTTTTGGTTAAACATAATTGAAATTTATTATTTTGTCGGAGTTTAAATAATTAAATAATTTGTTAACTAATTAATTAGTTAGTATATAATGATTAATTAAGTTAATAATAATTTAAACATTTTTTTCTTAATTTAACTTTTAATTAATTCAGTTTAAATCTGGGTTTAAATGATTATAGTTTAAGTACTTTAATAAGAAACTATTTTTAATTTTTCATTTATTATAGTTAATTAATTTTTTTGTTTTCACACATTCGAAATTTATTATTTTAACAAAGTTTAAAATATTTTACAATTTGAGACTATTTTTCATTATTAATTTAAGTGAACTATTTCTTCTTGCCTTTATAGATAAAAAATAATTATTAGTTTCGAATTATGCGCAAAAATTACTATTCTTTTTTTTTATTTTTAAGTACATGTTGTAAATCTTAATAATGATTTTTTAACCAAACGGTACTAAAGATTTTAATTTAAAATTCAAATATTTTTGTAATCAATGTTGACACAGGAAGTAATAATCTTTATCAAGAAAAATACATAATATTTTATGTTTATTAATATTTTATTAATAATTTTATTTTAATATTATTTATTAATATTCTTTTTTGAAAATATTTTTTTGCAGGAAAAATTATCAGATAGAAAAAAATTAGAAAAAATGACAAAAATTAGAATTTTTTTTTTATTTTTACTTTTACTAATTTTTTTTTTAAAGACATTTCATGCGCATTTGTAATAAAATGTATGAATTGATTTTTTATTAAATCCTGACACATAAAAAGAACACAGACACACACACACACACACACACATACAAACAATGTAGAATGCAGGTATAGAAAAATATAATTAACGGGCCTTTATAATTCCCATGTCGCATGATAAAAAATTAAACCTGTATATTTTTGATTATTATCAAGAAGGAACTTTAAATTGTAAAGTACACCGTTGACGATATAATGATGTGTGAGGGGGTGCTAGTTTTTTGTTGGAAAAAAGAAAATGTTCCCCTATATATATATATATTTATTAATTTCTGACTTGCGCAGTAAAATTATAACACGAAGGTGTTTCTTGAGACGTTGATGAAAATATTATAATTTACTGTTAGTGCACCACTCAAGTTTAAATCACGCATTTAGAATAATATTACACACGACTCAAAATAAAAAAGAATATTAGAAATTCTTCAAGATATTTTCTTTTTCACAGTAAATTTTTTTTGCCAAAAAGAGTTTATGTATTGTGAGGCAAAAATTAATTTTATGTAATCACATTTGTGTTTTTAGATCGAAACATAAAATTTCTTTTTAAAAAACTTTTTTTTAAATTTCTATTAACTTTTTTTTTAATTTCTTTTTAAAAAAAACTTTTTTCATTTCTTTTAAAAATACTTTTGTAATTTATTTTAAAAATACATTTTTCATTTCTTTTAAAATTACTTTTTTCATTTCTTTTAAAAATACTTTTTTAATTTTTTTTTAAACACTTTTTTGAATTCTTTAAAAAATACTTTTAAAAATACTTTTAAAAATACTTTTTTTAAATTTCACTTTTTTAAAAATAAAATTTCTTTAAAATAAACAAGTGCTTTTGAAATTTAACGACCAGTCTCTCGGAGAACGTATTGTCCTGATTTCGTAGGTTTCTCTCTCTCTCTCTCGCCCTCTCTTCGTCTTTCTCTCTTTAAAGTAATTATAAAATTGAAGAAATGGGCGAAGAAAATCACATCTGGCAGACATACTTGAACGATGAATTCGCACACATAGGCAAAAGGATCGAAGATCAACTGTAGGTATAGTTTCACTCCCTCACGAAAAAATATTTTCCACATTTTTTTTTAATTTCCTTTGTTTTATTCGAAATTGTTTGCCATCAATTATATTAATTGCATTAATTGTAATTTTTGTGATTACTTTTTTTATACCAACTTTTACTGTTTACAAAGTTAAAGTAAAACTGGTCTAAAATTTCTGCGTATTTCTGCTTTACAACTTTCACTATTTCCGGAGTAAATTACTACGTTCGAAGTGCATTTTACTAATTTGCACTAAAATGAACTTTGTAAATAGTAACATTTACTTTGGAATTAGTAGAAATTACTTTTTTTTTCTATTCTTCTACTCTTTTATTTGAAGAAATGTTTATTGATCCAGAAAACTTCATTATTACAGGAATTTTTATTATATTTTTTTTTAAATTATAGGTATTTGATTATTAAGTAAATATGAATTAAATAATAATTATTTAAATAATAAATATGAATGTTGTAGTTATTTTTAATAAATATGAATATAAAAAATGTTTAACAATTTAAAAAGAAATAAAAAATAAATAAATGAAAATAAAAAAAAACAATGAATTCATTAAAATAATAAAATTATATTTATAATTTAAATAAATAAATTTTTTATTTTAATAAATTTTTTAAAAATAAATATAGGGAAAGACAAATAAAAAAATAAATAAATTTTTTGTTACTAATTATTGTCCCATTTGACGATAATATAAGAAAATAAATAATAAATAAATAAAAGAAATGAAAAATAAATACGTGAAATAGTTCAACAATAAAATAGAAAAATAAATTTGAATAATAAATAGAAAAAAGAAATAAAAAAATATTAACAAAATAAATAAAATAGCAAATATTGGAGGAAATTATGCTGAATTAAAATAATTTATTTGCAGCGTAAAATAAAATTTGTTGTTGTTCTGAATTTGTAAATTTTGTATATAGAAATTGCTTTGAATCAAAAGCCGCTTTTATTTACGACCATCAGAGACTATTAATCACGCGAGTCATATAGATTTTCATTTTCATCATTTTAATCGGAACCTATATAGATGAGCATATTCTAGATTTGCGCGATATTATCATCAATTTGTGGCATAAAGATCAATATAAAAATTATCCAAGGTGCCTTTTAATAATACTAAGAGCTTTGACACACCTTATTCGATTTCAGTGTATTGACGGCACCTGGTAACGTTGAAGGAGGAGGAGGAGGAGGAGGACAGGAGAAATTAGCGACTCGCTGGAGAAAGTCCTTGGGAAGATATTGCAAGTGTTGGCCAGGCATGAAGTGCCTCGCTTGTCGGAGGGATCTCAAGGGGAAATTTTGGCCCAGAACTCAACTGAGAACAATATCAAAAGCTGAATTGACACCAGCTCCCAGGGGCAATAAGGATAAGGGTCCTGGACGATGGTCGAGGCTTAAAGCTGCATGCAGGTAAAATTAATTAATTAATTAATATTTTTCCTTTTTTTTTACTATTTTTTTCCTTCTTTTTGAAAATTAGTTTTCAATTTACAATTAAAAATTAGGTATACTTGTACAATATAATATATTTATTGTATAACATAATAACTATAAATCTTGTTAATTTATACTCTGTAAATTTGAATTAGTAAAAATATTTACAAATTTCAATTAGTGACTGCGATATTTTTCTTTTAAATTAGTAAATTTTACTGATAAATTAGTGGAAATTGCTATTTACTTGTAAAATTAACAAATTCAAAAGCAAAAAGTTAGTCATTAATTATTAGTAAAACTTACTAAAAATTAGTAAAAATTTCTGTTTATTAGTAAAATTTACAGAGTCAAAAGCAAAAAGTCAGTCACTTTAATTCAAAATAATAAAAATTTTTACAAATTCAAATTTATAGTGTAATTTGTTTAATTAGTCGAATTTTATTTTGATTTTTTAACTCTTGACCAATTTATGATTATACATAAAATTGTTTCTTCCTTCTGTTTATTTTTTCTTCCCTTATTTCTTTATCAAGAAAAATAATTTAAATATTCCATAAAATTGTTTTTATATAGTAATTTTTTGAGAGAAATTCGATGGTCATAAAATAAAAAGGAACGAAAAATATTTTGATTCTTTTTGAACTTTCATTCATCTTAAAAAATTGGTAGCTTTTGAAATTCATACGTAATTTTGTGGAAAATATGTTTTTGAATGTAAAAATCAGTTTTTTCATTTGGAAATCCAAATGAATTAATTTTTACAATTTATGAAACTTTTTTTTTGAAAAAAATGAACTTTTACGCTGAAAATACTAAAAAATAGAATTTTTATTCAATTTTTTTATTTGAAAATTCATTTGTTTATTTTTCTAACTAATTATTTTTAGATCAAGAAAATGCTTCAAAATATGTAAAAATCAATATTTTCATTCAGCAATTTTTTTGTGAACACAAAAACATTCAAATTTTATTCTTTTTGCAACTTTTTTAAAAATTTTTCGAAAACATTCAATTACTAAATTATTCACAAAACTAAATTCTTTGAAAGAATTTTAATTTTCTTCGAAACATTTTAAATTATTTTCGAAAAATTTAATAAAATTACTCTCAATAATTAAATTATTTTCATAAAGAAAATAATATTCATATCAGGAATTAAATTATTTTCAGTTTTAATAATAATCATTGAATTGTTGCAAAGAATCTTATCAAAAAATTTAAAGACAATAATTGAATTCCTTCGAAAAATTTTTTTATTTATGAAAATAATTAAATTTTTGCGAAGAATTTTGTTAAAATCCTAATTAAATTCTTTTGATGAATTTCTTTTAATTTTTTTTTTAAAATAAAATTTTTAAAAAAAAATAATAAAAAATTTTCAATTAAAATTATTTTAAAAAAAAACTTTTTTTAATAAGTTTAATTGAAAATTTTAAAAACAATTGAATTTTTTAAATAATTTTATTAAAATTGTATTGATAATAATTGAATTCCTGACAAGAATTTTATTATCTATAAAAATAATTTAATTCTTGCGAAGAATTTTAGAATTTTTAAAAATAATTTAATTGTTCCGAAGAATATATTAAAATTTTAGGAAATAAATAAATTTTTTGTAAATATTTGAAAATTTAGATAGATTTTTTCTTCTTTTTTATGGCATTTAGCTTCATTATTTTTGTGCTCTTTAAAAATACTTTACACTGAGAAAACTGGAGTATTGGACTAAACATCTGGAGGGACAAATCGTTGATATTTGAGAGTTAGCTATTGGATAACAATCTAAATGTTCAAATACACCATTGACAGATATTCGTGCCATTTCTCTTGGAGGGAAAATGAGTTTATAACAGAGGGACAAATTAACCATCTTGAGAAATCCCTTCCTTATCCGGCGCGAAATGAATAAATATGGCAACCTAACCCCTAAATTAAATACATAAAATGTCAGCAAGAAGACTAGAGACAGGAGGACTAACTGCAGTAGTGGGGGTAGGACAAATATAGGGGGATTATGAAGGCGTGGTTAGATTGCGCCAAGTATCGTGTTTTGATTCTGCACTTCCACTCACACACGCGTGTCACGTATTCAAATATATAATGTAAGAGTGTTGAGATGTGCAGAACCGAAAACAAGATATTTGGCGCAATCTAACTACGCCTTCAGAACCCACCTAATACTGACTCACTGCTGTGAGTGAGAAAACAGCCGAGTTAGCCCTCCTGTCTCTAGTCTTCTTGAATGTCAGAAAAATAATTTCGCGCGCATCAGATCGTACACATTTTCTGCGCAACTTTTAACCCTCAGATATAATGGGAGAGAATATACAAGTAGATTTCCATTATCAATTCAAAATTTATTTTAGAAGGACTATTTAACTCTCTTCATAAGCAAAGGAAACATACACTTTTTGAACCTCTGAATTTGACTCTCCAGTTTTCTCAGTGTATCTAATTTGTTATCTCCACCCTTTGGTAAAAAATCTAAAATTAGGGAAAATTAGCAAAAATTCAAAAAACCGAACTTCTTAAAATTTAACATTTTTCCTTCTTTTTTATGGCATTTAGCTTCATCATTTGTGCTCTTCAAAAATACTTTACTTATTTAATAGTCTCCACCCTTTGGTAAAAAATCTAAAATTAGGGAAAATTAGCAAAAATTCAAAAAACCGAACTTCTTAAAATTTAACATTTTTCCTTCTTTTTTATGGCATTTAGCTTCATTATTTTTGTGCTCTTCAAAAATACTTTACTTATTTAATAGTCTCCACCCTTTGGTAAAAAATCTAAAATTAGGGAAAATTAGCAAAAATTCAAAAAACCGAACTTCTTAAAATTTAACATTTTTCCTTCTTTTTTATGGCATTTAGCTTCATTATTTTTGTCCTCTTTAAAAATACTTTATCTAATTTGTTATCTCCACCCTTTGGTAAAAAATCTAAAATTAGGGAAAATTAGCAAAAATTCAAAAAACTGAATTTCCTAAAATTTAACATTTTTCTTTCTTTTTTATGGCATTTAGCTTCATTATTTTTGTGCTCTTAAAAAATACTTTACTTATTTAATAGTCTCCAACCTTTGGTAAAAAATCTAAAATTATGGAAAATTATCAAAAATTCAAAAAACCGAATTTCTTAAAATTCAACATTTTTTCTTCTCTTTTATAGCATTTAGCTTCATTATTTTTGTGCTCTTCAAAAATACTTTACTTATTTAATAGTCTCCACCCTTTGGTAAAAAATCTAAAATTATGGAAAATTAGCAAAAATTCAAAAAACTGAATTTGTTAAAATTCAACATTTTTCCTTCTTTTTTATGGCATTTAGCTTTATTATTTTTATGCTCTTAAAAAACAAAGTTTTGCATACAGACAGACAGACAGAAATTTTTTTTTACATTTTTCGAATTCTAATGTCTCAAAACGAAAAAATATATAAAAATTTTCAAGTTTGGAGCAATGTACAGACAGAAGTCTGATTTTATTATTATAGATTGCATTGAAAGTAATTTAATTTTCATATAGAATTTTTAAGAATATTTTGAAAATAATTGAATTATTTTTAGAGAATTTTAAATTCTTTTTGAAATTGAGTTTTATGGGAATGTTTGAAAAGATTTAAATTCTTTCCTGTAATTTTATTTAAATTGTATTAAAAATAATTTAATTTCTACAAAAAATTTTAGTATTTATGAAAATAATTGAATTGTTTCGAAGAATTTATTAAAATTTTAGGAAATAATTGAATTTTATGGAAATATTTAAAAATAATTGAAATATTTATATATTATTAGAAATATTATTAAAAAGTTTTTTAAAATTTGATTTCTTCCGAGTATTTTAATTAAAATTGTTTTGAAAATAATTAAATTCCTGCAAAGAGTTTAACTATTTATAAAAATAATTGAATTCTTTCGAAGGATTTATTAAAATCGAGATTAAAATTTTAGAAATTAATTGAATTCTTTCGTGAAATTTTATTAAAATTTTGTTAAGAATAATTGAATTTTTACAGAAAATTTTACTGTTTATAAAAATAATTGAATTCTTGCTAATAATATTAAAATTTTTAAAAATATAAACAATAATAATTAATTTTGTACTTGTAGGTGAATTTTTTAAATTTTGATAATTAAATTATTTAATTTATATTTGAAAATAAAATATTTTGTAATTTGCATAACAATAATAAATTGAATACCACGTTCGGCGCGTAACATTTGCTAGTTTTATAATAAAATTCCTTGGAAGGAATTCAATAAAAATTCAATTGTATAGAATAAAATGTTAAATATCATTTCTTTCCATAAGTGACAGTAGTACGAATCAATTTTGGTCAGACATAATGCCTATAATGTAAAGTTAGCGCGTCAGTAGTGCAGCATAAGTAGTAAAAGTATTTTCGGTCAGACAAGATATTGTAGTATACAAGTAATAGAAGCGCAAAATATAATTCGTCTCAGTAGTACAGCTTAAATTAGGTCAGACGAATTTTAAATTTCGATTTATTATTATTAAATATATTAAATTAATATTATTATTAAAATTCAATTCAATATATGTAATTATTCTTTCAAACGGAGACAAGAAACGTTTTTGTTTTATTTTCTATTTCATTTCGGTCATCAGTAGTAAAAGACGATTTTAGTCAGACAAAACTATTTTAATTCTTGTAATCTTATTACGGAGGTAAATAAAAAGTATTTTTAATTAGATAATTATTATTATTATTGTTATTATAAATTTATTAATAATAAATTATATTAATTCAATATTTTTGGAAGCCATAAAATTATAGTGTATTATCAATTATTATTAATTATGTAGTATTAATTATTATTGTGATAAATAATTATTGTAAATAAAACTGAAACGTATGTTTATAAATTTTTTTTTATAAAATTGTCAATAAATATTATTATTTTTAATTTGTTATTAATAATTTATATTATTGTTAATTATTATGATAAATAATTATTGTAGATAAAACTAAAACTGTATATTTAAAAAATTTGTTTATATTTAATTGTGAATAAATATTTCAGATGCCCTCGTTGGAAAGAGAGGAAGTGGTGCATAAGAAAAGCGAGAGTTGCGCCCGCTGAGAGTAAACCTTGTTGTCCACCTGAACGCCGATTTGGTGCCTTATGTAGAAGATTATTTGCCAACTGCAAATGCAAACGTTCTAATAAAGATAATAACAATGCGCAGCAACGGAGGAAAAGTATACGTGCCAAGCACAGTATCACAAGTGTCGTTGCACCCCCCGTTTCAGAGGTAACTTTTTCTTTTAATTTAGATAAAATTGTATACAAAATACAATAAAATTAATTAAACATTAATATTTTTAAATTAAGGCCCAAGTTACCGTCAATTTAGCAAAAAAAAAATGATAATAAAAATAATCGTTAATTTCAATTTTTAATACAATTTTAATCGAATTCCTCGAAATATGTACTTATTCTTAAAAATTTTATTAAAATTCATCAAAGAATTCAATTATTTAAAAATTAGATGATAAAATTCTTTATAAGAATTACATTTTAAGAAACATTCAATTATTCAATAAATTATTTATTTGCATTTTATTTGTATTTAAATAATTGAATTCTAGTAGATTTTTCTAATAAAAATTGATCTAAAAATTAATTTTTAGCTTAAATTTTAGATAATAATTGAATATTAAAAGCATTATAGCGAGAATTTTTAGAAATAATTGAATTTTAAAAAGTTTTCAAAGTAAAATATTTTAAAATTTGAATTTTTCATACTATCAACTGACTATTCTGTTTCTGTAGAATTAATTTTTTTTTGAAATTATTTAAAGTTTTTATTTTCTAATGAATATTTAATTGAAGAATTTTCGAAGAATTGGAATTTCGTAAAATTGAATTGTAAACAAATGGATTTGAAAATTCTCAACGAACTTTTTCAAAAATTATTAAAAATAATTGATTATATCACTCGGTCATATTCAATCATTATAAGTCGTTGAATTTTAAAAATGTTTTAATTTGAAATTTTTGAAAATCTTAATTCCTATGGAAAAATAATAATGATAAAATATTTTTTTAAAAAAGAAATTATTGATGTTTTCGAATAATTTTATTCGAATTTATATTTAATTAAAATTTTTGCAATATAATTACTCTAACTTTTATAATTACTTGTATACCGAACGCACTGGTCTTGAGGAATTTTAAATTAATAAAATTATATTCTCTTGATTTTTAAATGAATAATTATTTTCAGGAATTGAGGCCCAAACTTCCTGACGTTCTGGTCGAGCACAATTCATTAATGCGTGGAGCAATTCCTTGTCTTCCCACTCCTCTCGCATGGTTCTGTTTTATATGGAATTTATTAATACCTGGAACTGGTGAGTCCTATTTATTTATTATATTATATTATTTATTATTTTATACTATTTATTATATTATAATATAAATTAACAAAAAATTTCACATAAGAAAAAAATTAACATACTTTATCGTGGAAAATGATAAAGAAAAGCAATTATTACTATTTTTATTAATAAAATATTGAAATAATAAAATAATAATTAAAATAAATATATATATATATATATATATATATATATATATATATATATATATATATAAATAATAATAAAAACAATAATTAACAAAAAAATCTTTACTCAATAATTAACTAAATAATAATAAATGAAATAAACAAATTATTTTGTCGGTATAGTAAAGAAAGTTTACGTCAGGAAAAAACTGATTAAAATTTTACAAATATATACAAATAATAAATTATTATTTATATTTAAAAATATTAATATTTAATAGTAACAATTTATTATTATTTAAAAAATTTTTAAATAAATGAAATATTATTGATAAAAATATTGATTGAAAATTAATTGGATAGGAACTTTTTGGAGTGGATTGTTTAATCTTTGCGTTGGTCAGCCGAGATTTTCTCCTGTAGCAAGTGGAAAAGCAAGATTTGGCGCTTTTATTGTAAATTTATTCGTGGGAGTAGGTCAACTTTTTACCATATTGTTTTGCCTTGTTGGATGGGGTTGGAGCATCTGGTGGGGAGTCACAATGATTCGTCTTGCCAGTGAGTTTAAAAAAATATTTACTTATTAATTTTGATCAATTCTTACTTCTTTATAGAGGAAGTTTTTTTTAATTAAAAACCACACTGAGAAAAACTCTATTTGATTCAAAATAGACGATTATTAGAATAAATAAATATTTAATTGAATCAAATAAATATTTAATTGTATCAAACTAATATTTATTTACATCAAAAATTTTTTATTCTAGTAAATTAAATGGTACTTGCTTTAAACAATTGTTTTTGTTTCCTAATTTTTTTGATACTTTTTTTTAAATGTTTTGAATTTTAAAATTAATGAAATTCTAATTTAATTTTTTCATGTTTTGAAAATAAAAAAAATTAATTAAACAAAATAGTTTATTTCAATTCAAAATTTTATAATTTTCAATTTGAAACAATTTAATTCTTGCGTAGAATTTTATTAAAATTTTTATAAATAATTGAATTGTTTAGTAGAATTTTTTTTAAAGCTTTGAAAATAATAAAATTTATTCGAAGAATTGAATTAAAATTTTTTTGGAAATAATTCTTAGGAAAAATTGTTATGATTTGTGAAAATAATTGAATTCTCACGAAGTATTTTATTATTTGTGTAAAATAATTGAATTCCTGTGAAGAATTTTATTATTAATGAAAAAAATTTAATTCTCACGAAGAATTTTATTAAATTTTTTGAAAATGTATAAAATTATATAAATTATATAAACGAGTAATTAAAAATTTGTAAAATAATTGAAATTTATTATTTTATAAAAAAATAATTGAATTGTTTCGAAGAATTTTATTTCAATTTTTAGAAAATAATTGAATTTTTTCGAGAAATTTTATCATCTATATGAAAATAATTGAATTCTCGATAAGAATTTTAGAAAAAAATCTTGGAAATTATGAAATTTTGTTTAAAAAAAAAAGTGTATTAGAATTTTATTGAAAAAAATTTAATTTCTTCGAAGAATTTTGTTATTTACAAAAATAATTGAATTGTTTCAAAAATTTTTTTTTACATTTTTTAAATAATTTAATTTTTGCAAAGAATTTTGTTCTTTATAAAAAAATAATTGAATTCTTTTGAATAATTTTATGTGAATTTTTAAAACAATTGAATTCTTAGGAAGAATTTTATTAATGTTCCTAAAACAATTTAATTTTTGCGAAGAATTTTATTAATGTTTCTAAAATAATTTGATTCTTGGGAAAAAATTTATTATTTATGAAAATAATTGAATTCTCACGAAAAATTTTATTACAGTACCGGCCAAAATTGTCAGTCCACCCATTTTTGAAGGAATGAAAAAAATTTTTTAACATAAAATTTATGAAAACTCAAAATTTTTTTGGTTTATATTTTGAAAGACAATAAAATTTTGAAAAGAATAAGACCTCACAGAAGTTATTTGACCAAAATTTGTAGAAGATATTCTTAAAAATCGTCATTTTCAATGTTTTACAAAAATTTGAATAACTTCTAAAATAATGAACGCTTTTTAATAATCTTAGGCTTATTTTAAAGGTCGTTTTCTACGGAATAAGCATTACTTATAGGCATTAACCTGTAATTTTTTATTTGGAATAAGCATGACGTCAAAGTTGGACAAAAAAATTAGAAAAATTTGAAATAAATTTTTTGTACTAAAAACTATTCTAGAACATATATAAAACATGATATGGTGAAGATTTTTAAAGAAAAGTTAATAAAAAAATATGTTTGAATTTCAAAAATTATTTTTCTTTTAATAATATTATTTCAAATTTTTTGAATTTTTTTGTCCAACTTTGACGTCATGCTTATTCCAAGTAAAAAATTACAGGTTAATGCCTATAAGTAATTCTTATTCCGTAGAAAATGACCTTTAAAATAAGCCTAAGATTATTAAAAAGCGTTCATTATTTTAGAAGTTATTCAAATTTTTGTAAAACATTGAAAATGACGATTATTAAGAATATTTTCTACAAATTTTGGGCAAATGACTTCTGTGAGGTCGTATTCTTTTCAAAATTTTATCCTCTTACAAAATATAAACCAAAAAAAATTTTAGTTTTCATGAATTTTACGTTAAAGAATTTTTTTCATTCCTTTAAAAATGGGTGGACTGACAATTTCGGACGGTACTGTAATTTTGTTGAAAATAATAAAAAATAGGAATTGAAACAATAAATTGAGTATCTTTTAGAATTTAATTATTTTTTGATAATTCCAAACGCTTCTAATAGTGAAATTTTTTCTAAAATTTTAATTGAAATTCTTTTTTAAATCAATATTTATCAGAAAGTTCTACGAGAATGCAATTATTTAAATACGAAAATAAATAATTGATAAAAAAAATAGTAAATAAATAGTAATTGATTTCAACGAGAATTAAAATATTTAAATAAAAAAATTAATAATTGATAAAGAAAAGTAAATTGTGTAAAAAATAGTAAAGAGTAGTTTTTAGTAGATGAGTGCAAAGTCTGTTTAAGTCAATTAAATATTTTCTCCAAAAACTGAAATTAGTGGTTTGAATAAAATTTATTTGATCTGAATAAAAATTATTTCGTTCAAGTGAACAAAATAAATTTGCATCCAACAAATACACAGAATAATTATTATTATTTGACAATAAAATATTTATTTGTCAAAATAAATATTTATTCAAAATAAATTTGAATCGAATTCTTTTTCAGTGTGGTAATAATAATAATTATGAATAAAATTTTTACTAGTAAATCTATAAATAGTTGATGTAGTTAAATTGTTTTACACTCTAGTATTTTATCGAATTGGACCATAAAAATTTGTTCGTAAATAATAATAATTAGGTAAATTACTATGGTTGAAATTGAAAATTTTGTAAAAGGAAACTTGGTATAATTTATCAGGGAAATACAAGCGCTTTAGAGACTCGGAAGCTGTGAGTGGAGATCTGGAAGCGAGAGCTGGTGAACCAGCAGCATTACCGCCAGGAGTACCGAGTCAAGCTTTGCGTGGCATTGAAAGGGCACGATAAACTTCTTCCTTGCATATGCTAATTGCTATTAAATACATAGTGAACGCATCTTCCGGTCTAACGAACTCGAAAGTTTCAAATTTCATAATTAACGATTCACTCAAAAGTGAACATTGATAACAACATTCAGGAACTGCTTTCAATGAAAGCGTTTGCAAGTTTCGTCTTTCCAAAGTTCTTTATCTTTTTGACCAAATTTATCATTACGTTCCTGATTTAGTTATTTAGTTACTAATTAGATAATATTTCTATATTATCGTTCAATTTTTTAGTTTTTTAATTTTTTTACTTTTTTACTTTTTTACTTTTTTAATTTTTTAGCTTTTTTAATTTTTTAAGATTTAAGTTTTTTAATTTTTTAATTTTGAAAATTAAGATTTATTTTGAAACGTTTTGAAAAACGGTGGAAGAGATTATTAATTTTTAGAAAAACTTATTTTTTTTATACAAATATTTTATGTGAATTGAATATACATTCAATTTTTTATCGTATTATATTTTATAGGAGAGATGGTGTATTATAAATGTTTAACGACTGACGATTCAATTTGGTAAATATACTTTGGAAAGGCATCTTATGTATTTCATATTTTTGCATCGATAAATTATTATAATTATATACATAATATTGTTTACGTAGTTGTAAATAAATAAAAAAAAATATAGCCACAGTTTTTACAAAATATGAACTGAATTTCTTTAATTAAATTTCTTTTTAATTCCTTAAAAAAAAGTGCTTTTTAAACATTTTTTCAAATTTTTTTTTCCCTCACTGACAAGAGATTTATGAAAAAAATAGTATGAATGATAATTACCTTTTTTTTAATGCCCAGTAGAAAAGAATCTTGACACTTATATTTTTTACTTTCTAAAAATTTTTATTTCTCAATTTTTATGATCATAAATATATTTCCAGAAAAATTGTTTCCATTGTAATTGACTGTTTTTTTTTTCATTATCATTAAATTGTTCGAAAAAAATTAACTTTGCAAAATTAATATTTTTTATTACTATGGAATCCAACAGAAAAAGTTTTATCTTTATTTCCTGTTTTGAAAATATATCAGAAAAATGTTGGTAATAAAAGAAGAAAGTAAAAAAATAATAATAAATAAAATACTTTAGAGTATTATTATTTAAAAAAAATAAAATATGTCTAAAAATTATTATAAAAAATAGTTATTTTTTTATTAACATAATATTGAATAGATTTGAGAAAGAAAAAAAAATATTTCCAAATCTTACAGTAGTTTTTTGTTTTGAAATGTTTTGGAGTTTTAAATGAGGTTTTTTTTTTATTTTCAAGTCAACGTGTGAACACTTTATGAGATTGATTTATCGATTTTAGAAAAATTCTCATTTATTTTCACAAAGGCATTAGAACGATGAAAAAATTAGGAAAAAGTTTTTAGAATATATTTTAATCTTATTTTTATTTTTATAGAAAGAAACTACTTTAAAAAAAATTCTTTTTTGTTTTCAAAAAAAAATTCCAATATTACAAAGAAGTTATTTTTCAAATTTTAATAGTTTTGTTTCAAAAATAATAAAGAAAAGAAAATTGGAGAATTTTCAAAGAATCAATGGACAATTTCAAAAAGTGTCACACTAAGAGTATATTCATTGGAGTGGGTATGAATTTTTTTTGGTGTGGGTGTCAATTAATTGAGTCTTTGACAATTGAATATATTTTTGAGTAGTATATAATGTTTTAATGATGTGACTCCACAATTATGTAAATATGCACAAGTAAATATTTTGTTATTATAATTAAGTGTTACAGTGTTGTATTGTGATATTGTTCATAATAAACTTATAATATTTCCATTATAATTAATAATTAAAATTAAAGAATATTCTCTACATCACTAAACGATGGCGATTACTATACAGCAACTTTTATTTTTTTTCATTATTATTATTAATATTTGTTTTTTTCTTTATTTAGTATGTCTTTTACCAGAGACGTTTTTTTTTTTTTTTTGACTCATGGATTAGTTTCTTTTTTGTGTTAAATATCCTTTCTCTCCTCAGTATCAACTGACATTCACATCAATACACATATTTTATTTCTCTGATGGTGAATTTTTTTATTCAAATAACATGAGAATAACTTCAATCGAAGTTAATTTGTGAAAAAAAAATGAAATATCAGGGGAGAAAATTTGTGTAAAAAAAATAGCTTTAAAGCGAATGAAATAAAATTTCAGCGCAGGCATTATAATTTCGTAATTAATCATTATAACAATGAGAAGGTAATTTTTTTTATTTCCCTTAAAATTCATTTTTGTTTATGAATGAATTTTGGAAAATTTCTCCTCATTGCAATTATGATTTTAAGAAAATTATTCGTGCATCATTTATTTAAACAAAAAGAGTTTTTTTTGTTTAAATAGATAAAATTAGAGATTATTATTATTCGGATCATAGTAATTAATGATAAAAATAAAATAGTGGAAATGAAAATGAAATGGACTCATAATAATATGAAATAATAATTGCCGATAGTACGACATCGATAAAGAAACGATTTTAAATCGTTGATAAATTAATTGATAAATCAGTTGATAAATCAGTTGATAAATTAATTGATAAATTAATTCACAAATCAATTTATTGTTAAATAAATTGACAAATTAATTTATTGTTGAATCAAATTTATTTGATTTGTCAAATTTATTGGTAAGTCAATAGTTAAATAAATTGAGAAATCAATTGATGAATCAATTGATAAATCAACTGATAAATAAATTTATCGAAAAATCAATTAAATTCATTGATTTAAAATGAATAATGAATAACAACTTAAATTGAATAATCGTAAAAAATAATAATTATCGATAAACATTAACAAGCAAGCGATAATATCAAAGGCATGTATTTTTGTCAAGCAAAACATGTTTTCAATTTCATGAATCAAAAATAATAGTGTTTCCTGTTTTTCTTTTTTCTTTTTTTGTTTTCAAAATATGAAAGAAATATTCATAGCAGCTATTTGGAATCAATTAAAAAGACATCTACAACAATATTGCGAGAACAGAAACTGCGAAACAAACACACTCAGTCATCCGCACAAGCGCCTCGTTCATTGAAAAGCATACTAAGTAATTGTGTTTATCCTAGTGCTTTGATTGTGAGAGAGTTAGTTTGTATCAATGAAAATGTGTGTGGTTTATGATGCTGTTGAGTTCAGTGTGTGACGAATTTTGCGAGCTACATATTTTGCATGATTTATCGTTTACAAAACACATTTTCGGTGTGAATTTTTCCATTAATTATTTTTTTTTCTTTTCACTTTTTTTTTCTTTAAGTCTGTAACTGTATGTTTTATGATATAAATACCGTTTTGTTGTTCAGTGTCCTTTGCGAATCGTTTTTCATGAATATATTTATGTAAATAATTTTTCTTCAAAATTTTTTCTCTGTTTGTTTTCTATTAGTTTCGAATTTTGTTGTTTTTTTGTTGGAAATTTTCCACAAATATATTAGTATTTGTAAATGTCATTATTAGTTTCGGATAATATTAGTTTTCGAATATTTATAAAAAATGTTATTGGTATCGAATGTTTTTTATAAGTTTTCACAATGTTCTTTTTTTTTATAATAAATTGTTTTTTTTTGGCGCATGTTTTTCTTTTCTTCAATTTGTCGAAATAGTGTTATTTTTTTTGCAAATTTTTACAATTTTTTAATGGAGTAGACTTCTCAATATTTTGAATATTGGAAATTAGAAATTCTCGATTATTTTCAAAGTAAGAAATAATGATTTTCTATATAAATTGACAAAGAGAGCGTGGATTCCAAGAGTGAACAATTCATAAAGCCAATTTTAATAATTGTATTTCATTTAGTCGGTTTTTCTATTATTATTAATTAGATATTATTACATTCTTGGCAAATCGAAAAAAAATTTGTCGATTCCAAAATAGGAACGGATTATTGTGCGAACTATGTATACAGGGTGCAAATTTGCGAAATACACGCCTCATGTTGTTCATTTATTTATTATTAATTTTTTTTTCGATAATAGTCTGTTGTCTTTTTTTTTGTTTGTTTGTTAAATTTTTTTTTCCATTTTAAACGATGGTACAATTGGTAAGGTGCGCAGGGCTGCTAGGCACAGATAATTGACTCGCAAATAACTCTTTAAACAACATTACAGCGTACGACATACAGTATAATACACATATTACATTATTTAAGAGTAATTGTGTCGATGTGTGTGTTTTTTTTTATCTCACTGTGACCTGCGTTCAATCGTGTCTGCGATCATGTACTAGATTTTTAAATCTATAGATCCTTAAAATACATTTAGTTACTTGTTGCTCTGTTGACATCACAGACTGTCAATGTTTCAGTATTTTTTTTTTCTTTTTTAATTGCAAAAATTCCGATTTGATTTTTACTCATTTTTTTCTAGCCATTTCGGATTTTTTTTTTTTTTGTATAATGTACAATAATGATTCATTGTCAGACTGCTTTGACACGAGACTTTCGGAAATCTTTAAAGTATAATGCATACAGTCAACAAACCTTATTACAACTAATTTGTCTTTTGACGCAGCGATGGGAAGACAGAGCTTAGAGACCCTTTCCGGCTCAGACGTACAATAGGGATATAATTCTGGCAAAAAGTGAAATCGTTAAGGAGACACATTCTATACATTTTTTATTTTATTTTTTCTTTAAATATTTAATTACTATTTTCTTTTTTTCTTTTTTATTATTTTTTTTTTTTTTTGCTTCTTCGAATAAACTTGGAAATTTACTGGGAATTATGAATAATGCTAGAGACATTGATATGACACATAGTGTCTTGGGATGCCTACAACCTGATATGTAGAACAGGTATCTCACCGGTAATACTTGGGATCGCTAATAGCTGCTGCGCTTTGCTTTATTTTGTCAAAAAAATTTTCCTCTCCAAAAAAATCCTTTCCTTAAATCATTCCTTTCCTTAAAAAGAAAATTTTCATTAATTGGACTAATTCAAATTTATTTTCATTAAATTAATTTAAATAAATAATTAAATACAATTCTTCCTCTATAGGGAAGCAAATAATGATATCATGAAAAATACAATGATAAAACAATGATAATATAATATAATAATAAATAGAAAAATCACAGTTTTTTTTTTATCAAAAACAAGAACAATTTTATGTTTTATTGAGAAAAAATCGAAAGAACAAAAGAAATTCCCTGAGATAATTGATTAAGAAACAAACAAAAGAAAGCAAAGCGCACTGACAGTAAAATACCCTTTTTTTGTTTTTCGCAATACTAACAATTAATAATATTAACGATATGTAGCTACTGTCTACTAATCTACCTAACTACAGACATTATCCTAATGCCTTAAAAATTAATCATTAATCACCATTCAATAATTCTAAATTTGTTCCGAATTTTTTCAAAATTGGAACCATAAATAAAAATTATCTTATAGAATAATTACAGAATTCGAATAAAACGTTTTTCATGCGTTTTCTTTTCCTCATTTTCTTTGCAAATATATACACATAGAATGGGGGGGGACAAAGGGGGGAAGATATGTAATAGAACGATTTAAAGAAATTTTTTTTTTCTTTTTCATTTAGCTTTTACAAGTTAATTTATCGACACAAGATTTAGGTTTTCTCAATAACAACCTCGAGTTTGATGTACAATCGGCATAAATATTTTTCTTTCGCATATATTTCTTTTTTTTTATGCCTCGCTTTTATTTATATATATTATATATATGTATTATAATGAATATATATATGATATATATAAAAATGTAATATACTCTATTCAGAATACTGTATCACTAAAGAGTCTAACTACTACAATTACAATTTGATTTTTGTACATAGTAAAATTCATGCATCAGAAAATCAAAAGTCTCAAACGGGCAAAAAATTAATTTTTGCTCGTAAATTCACACACAGTGTGTGATTGTGTATATATATATTCTTTTTTTTCATTTCTGTGCTATAATAAGTTTTATGAAAATTATACATATTTTCTGAAAATAGATTATTACAATGAATTGAAATTGGTACAGCGAATGAAATCGTTTTACAATGAAATTGATATTTATATAAATGGAATTTATTACAAATGTGATGCGCTGGTCGTTTATAAATTTTTTTCCTTTTTTTTTTCTTTAAATCTTTTAGTAATAATGTAAGTCAGTTAAAAATATTTTTTCACATCTTCTGATGCATGCTATAAATTAGATACTTTAAATTTAACCCTTCGAATTAATAATCAAATTGACAATTATTGAACCCCTTTTTTCGAGAAGGCTTAAAAACGAGATAAATATACATTTTCCTCTTTCTCTCTCTCTCTCTTTTTTTTCCTAGTCTTTCTCTCCCCAATTCAATCTCATTTCACATTTAATTCGCTCATTTTTTGTTTGTTTATTTATTTAGTTTTATTTTTTTTTTCATCAGACTTTGTTACTCTCTTTCAGTGAATGAGTACAAAGGGTTAAATGTAAAGACTCATTGTCGTGATTTGGAACATGAAAAGTTTTTTTTTTCTTTTTTTTCGTTTTTAGTTTTAGTCCGTTGCTCAATTAAAATGTGCAGCCCAACTTATCAATCTTCGTTGTCATGTATACTACCATTGTTTTTTTTACTTTACCATATGGATAATGTAAAATGGTAAAGTCTTCAGAAAATAAGCTGACATGCGAACTTTTTTCTTTTTTTTTTTTTTTACTAATTTTAACGCTGTTTATTTATATTTATGTACCTAGAGTACATCACATTGAAGGTCGATTTTTATCATGAGGGTATCGTAACTCGATTCGAATTTTTATTTTACTTTATGTACTTTAGAAATAATTGAAACAAATGAAAATAAAATTCGAACCTAGAGTGAAAAAGAATCTATTTTATTTCAATTGGAAAGCTTTTCAAATATATTTCGTATTTTTTTTTATTTCGTTCTTTTTTTTATTTGAAACTTAGAGCTTTTTTCACATTTATTCACTTTCTTTTTATTTTTTATTAATAAAAAAATTTCGATCACATTTTTTTTAAGATAATTAAATTCCTTTCATTTTGTTTTTTGGCGATTTATTGAAAAATTTTATTTCTCATTTAAATAAAATTTGTAAAAGCATTCTTTTTTTAGTAGAATGAACAAGTACGATACTCTCGTGAAAATATCGTTGCGCTCCAAAAATCACAAATATTAAAAAAAAAGAAATTCTTTTTATGATATGAATTACGCCAGTCCTAAAATCTTAAACGCTAAAAATTGTCTTAGTTCTTAAAGTTCTGCTCGCTAAACGAAATCCATAGTCATTTGATAATCAAAAGAAACTTAAGTTTCCATAATAAAATATGGTACATTTTTTGATAATAAAAACAGGAAGAAGAAACGTGAAAAAATCAAAACAGGGCTTTGAACCGTATTTTAAGAACATTTTTTGAAAACATTTTTTAAGAACGTTTTTTAAGAAAATTTTTTAGGAATATTTTTTAACAACATTCTTTAAAAACAATTTTTCAAATTAAATACATTAAATAAATGTACGAAAAAAAGCAGAAATTATTTCTATCTATTTACGTCAAGAAACAATTGTTAAACTTAAAAATATTGTTCCCAATTCATTTTTATTATTTGTAAAAACAATTATAATCATGATATTATTTCACTAATATTGCGTGAAACAATAAATTCATACGATTCTTTTTCTTTGCATTTCAAAAGAAATCGAAAATTTGAAATTAATTTCTAATTAATTATTTTCAATGTAAAAGAATTCGTCTAATAAAAAATAATTTCATTTACAAAGAAATTTCTTTTCAAATAAAAAATTTGAAATTAATTTCCAAATAATTAATTATTTTCAAACAATTAATTATTTCCAACTAATTAATTATTTTCCAAATAAAAGAATTCGTCTTCAGTGAAAACGAATTTTAAAAAGAAATCTCTTCTTAAATTAAAAATTGGAAATGAATTTGAAATATTGTGAAATTAATTATAATTTCTAAATAATGAATTATTATTTTCAAATAAAAGAAATCGTTTAATAAAAAAAAAGTGAAAGAAACAAAAACAATGGACTAAAATATTAAATCAAGCTAAAAGTTATTGTTCAAACAAGTATATAGTTAATGAATAAATGAATATTTCCAACTCATTTGAATGTAAAATGACTTTGGAAATTTTCAAAATGACCATTAAAGTTAATGACGGTTCATGTGCCCCGCTTCGAAAACTTTGTAACGGCATCATAAAAGCAAACTGCATTTCGTGTACGTATGTAGAAATAATAAAAATCGGAAATTGAAATTGTTACGTCGCAGGTGGATTAATGTGAAACTGCTAGTTAGTGCCTCGTTAGGCTTAAAATCCTCGATAAACGCGAGAGGATGGAAAAATCCGAAAGACATCCGCCCACCAACATCGATGCAAAAGATGAATCATTCATTATTATTCGATAAAAATCTTTTTCTTCGCCAACCAAAACAAAAAAAAAATAAATAAATAAAATTTTTCCTATAATGAAGTTCTCTATGAAGTTTACAACTTATTTTCTAGTTGCATTTGTAACAAATATTGCCTCGAATATAAATTTTTTTTTTTCTTATTTAAGTTTAATATTTCAATTTTTTAAAGATCTCTCCCATTCTTTCATTCTCTTTCTTTCTCTCTCTCTCTCTATTTCTCTTTCTCTCACTCTTGCAATCAATGGACAATTTGGCGGATATTTCTCGCGCACTTTTTTGAGGGGGGTTTTTTTTTATTCCCCTCGAAAAAAATCTCTTATTTTTACGTATGGCCAAGTTTTTATTTTGGTTCACTTCGTAATTTTTCAGAGATCTAAAACCTTTTCTTATATAAAACATTCCTCGGCCTGACAAAATATTGCCGAAGAACACTAATCATCGACATTATTATTTAATTATTATTTTTTTTTTGTATATAAAATTCAATTCACAGTTTCTCGAAACTGATTTGAACGAGCAGTAAATTTCTGGTTCTCTTATAACAGCGAAACAGAGAGTGTACCGATTCGTCGCACCCTGAACACTACAGCTTCGGAGTTTCCGAGAAAATCGATTTTTATTACGTTTTCTTCTTTTTGTAAAACCTTTTAAGATTCTTTTTTTTCTTTCTGTTAGCAGTCTAGATGACGTACCAATTTCATAGATATCGATACAATTCCTAGGATTTTTATTTTGCCCCCCCCTTTAAGTCGATTCACTAAAAAAAATTTCTCTCACTTTTTGCTTTAAAAAAAAAAATAATTCGATTTTTACATGATGAATGTTTTCGTAATAGTCAATTTTTTTTGAATATTTTTTTCTAATATTCGATTATTTGAATATTTCTTGTAATATTCAGTTTTGGGGATATTTTCGAATATTTTCGAATATCGAATATTTTCGTAATATTCAATTTTATGATCGATTTATAGTAACAAAATTAATATATTCATGTTTAATAATTAATATAATTCGAATTGGTTCTAATTGTGGAGTTTTAATATCAATTAGATGCAATGAATGGAAATAAAAATGATATGCAAGAAACTTCCTACTGTCTTGTGCTTTCCTCTCTCTTTCCTCCTTTTAATGATGCTCTCCCTCTCTCTCTCTCTCTAATTTTCCGAGCTGTGGACAGTTTTTTTCAACTGATATGTATTGGGCGATAATCGCAGTTTTGGTATGTCGGATAAACACTGCTAAACTTTCTCTTCAGGGTTATTTTTTTCTTTTTAGAGTCATCGTGCGTCGGCGAACGACTCCAAATGAAGCAATGTTTGCAGAATTGAGTTCGTTCCTTTACGGGCAGTTTGTCAAAAAATGGATTTTTCAAATAGTTGAAAGAGTTGGTAAAAAAAAATTTTTTGTCATAAAATGATACTTTGTACAAGATATTTTATTGAGTGTTTCACTCAAGTTTTGCAGACATTGCTTTTATTTGTCAATAATATTGGGTAAAAGTCATTTCATTGGAATATATTTGCTTTTTTTGGTGAAATTGATTTGTCCCCAGAAATAGAAAAGAAAAAAAATTCATGACTTATTTCTGCTTTTTTTTAAAGAGAGCGGCACACGAGTGGATTTCATCCGGAACTTCAGTCTGGTCCAAATCGGCAGGGGATTTTAATCCGGTTTTGCTTTTTTAAATCCATGTGTGGTAAATTAAAAACTTAGGGGAAAGTTGTTTGTTTTTTTGTTGGGGAGAGAGATTTTGGAATTTTCTTTTCTGGTTTCTTTTTTTTTGGTTTTGATAATTTAGTAGTGCCAAAATGTTGGAAGAGGCGGGGGTGGCGGTGGTTGCACCGTAGGATAGAGAGTTGGAGTGGCAATCAAGAGACACGTGGGAGGAAGTGGTGGAGGCACGGGAGGCATAACCGGGGACAGCGTAATCGCCGTGGCTGGATGCAGGGCCGTGCTACTCGTCGGGGCACAGAGCTGGTGCAGGGCGAGAGAGGGGCGCTGGCGTTGACGCTGACGCTGGCCCTGGGCCTCGCCGTTCTATTCCGAGTCTTGCTGCATTTTGGTGTGGCCATTTCCGGCGGAATTACTGGACGCACTTCCACTGCTTGGTGGAAAACTCGTCGGTATGGTGCGCGACGATGAGAAACACAATTTCATTATATAAGGGAATTTACCGTCTGTAACAGAAAAAAACAAAAAAACATTTCCAATGACAATTATTTTTTGAAATAATCTTTTTCAAAAACCAATTTCTTTAGGATAGCAATTTAAAAATTTAATAACAATTTGTAATTTTTTTTTTTATGAGGAACTGTATATAGTTCGAAACTAGTTGGGATTTTAAATAAATTTTATTAAATAACAAATCGTATGTAGGCCTTCTCATTATTCTACAAATTCAATAACAATATCAGGGTTGCCACAAAAATTTAATTTTGCTTTTCCCTAATTTTTCCCTGATTTCCAGATAGAATTTTGATTTTTTCCCTAAACATAAAAAAATATCCTGATTGTTGTTAATTAAAAGTATAAAAAATTTTAATTTTCAAAGATTTTGATTTAAAACCTTTTCGAAATTCAATTATTTCTAAAAATTGCAATTATTAGAAACTTCTTAAAAATTCAATTATTTTTTTTAGAGGTTTTAACTAAAATTCTTCCCTAAATCAATTATTTTTAGTAATAAAATAATTAATAATTAAATATACATTAAAAAATTAAACTAATTTCAACAGAATTGAAAATTAAAATTGTTCAAAAAAATTAGTCCTACAAAATTGTTGTTAATTAAAAGTATGAAAAATTTAAATTTTCAAATATTTTAATTTGAAACCGTTTTGAAATTCAATGCACGGACTTTATTCAATTTTTTTTAAATAATTGAAAATTCTTATGAAAATTTTTTATAAAAATTTATTGTTTTAAATAATTACAATACTCTGAATATTTTATTATTCATAAAAATAATTAAATGATTGCCAGGAATTTTATTAAAATTTTAATAAAGGATTTAATTTTTTAGAAGAATTTTATTTTATTTTTTTAAATTATTGAATTCTTGAGAAAAGATTTATTAAATTTTTCTTAAATTTTTTTTTAATACAAAAGTAAATACTTTATTGAATAATTGAATGTTTTATTAAAATTGAATTCTCATGAAGAATTTTATCAAAAAAATCGTTTAAAATTGTATTAAAAATAATTGAAATTCTGCGATAAGTTTTATTATTGATGAAAATAATTAAATCCTTGTAAAAAATTTTATTATTTGTGAAAATAATTGAATTATTGCAAAGAAGTTATTAAAAAATATTGTAAATAAGTGAATTTCTGTGAAATTTTTATTATTTATGAAAATAATTAAATGTTTTGGGTAGAATATTATTAAAAATTATTTTAAATAATTGAATTCATTTGGAAAATGTTATTAAAATAATAGATATTGAGAATCATTGAATTTTTGAAAATTTTTGAAAATAATTGAAATTTTGACAACAATTTTATTAAAATTTTTCAAAAAAATTGAATTTCTTCGAAAAATTTTATTATTTTTGAAAATAATTGAATTTTTGCAATCATTTGTAACTTCACCAAAATTCAATTATTTTTAGTGTTTTTAACTAAAATTCTTCTATAAATCCAATATTTTTAATAATTAATTACAGATATATTACAAAATTTAACTAATTTCAGAAGAATTTGAATTATTAAAATTTTTCAAAAATCTAAGATCTTTAAAATTTCTAATGAAATTCATTAAAAATTGAAATTTTATAAAATTTCAAATGAAAAGCTTTTGAAATCCATCTATTTATGACAATTGTAAATGCATCTCTTTTAAAATTCAATTAATTTTGAATCATTTAAGTAAAATTATTCATTAAGTAATGTATAAGTAATAATTTTACGATAGTTCTTCAAGAACTAAATTCTTTAAAAAGAAATTATTGTCAGAAAATGAAAAAATTGAAGGTTTTGTATTAGAATTCGTTTAAAAATTCAATAACAATATTCAAACTAAAATGGAAATAATAATAGAGACTAAAATAGAAAAAAGAATAGAGACTGAAATAGAAAAAAGAATAGAGACTAAAATAGAAAAAAGAACAGAGATTGAAATAGAAAAAAAGAATTGAGACTGAAACAGAAAAAAGAATAAGAGACAAAAACAATATTACAAACGGAAAACTAATTTAAAAAATAAACAGAAAAATTAACAATAAATCCTATTGGAGAATCTGAAAATAGCTTTTTACAAAATAAAAGCAAAAATTAAATTATTTTTCCAATTATATATTATATTTTTTAATATTTCTAAAACGAAAAAAAAATTTTGTGTCCTTGAATGGAGAAAACTCCTAAGCCAAGAAAATGAAAAATTTTATTGCAAACATAAACTGTAACTATATGAAAAAAATGTCTCAAGCAAACACATAAACTTTTCAAGAGTAAAATGAAAAGAAAAGCTTTCTCAACAACACACATATATACATAATAATGTTAATAAACAAAATCTATTTTATCAAATGATACACTAAAAATAAAAAAAAAAAAATTTGAAATAAAATTGTCAGAATAAAATTTTAAATTTGTGAATTTTGTTTCTTTGCATCTTGCAGTTAATGAAAGAGAAGAAAGGGATTTAAATAATGAAAAATGAGATGAAACTTTTTTTTTTGACTAACAATAGAAAATGAAGATTGTTTTCTTGCAATTGCATTTTATATAGGATTAATTTTCTTTATAATAATATAGTGAATTTAAAATAATAATAGTAATAATGAAGAGGGACAAATATATAAGGAGATATTTCTCGTTGGCATTGTTTTCTTTTCTGACTTTGGATTATTATAGAGAGAAGAGAAGAGAAAAGAGAAAAGTTGTGTAAACAATGGCAACTTACTGCTATTCTCGAGGGCGGTGTGATTGCACTCCATTATGGCAGCTACCGCAACACCGACACTACTGAATTCAATAAGACCGGACGACGACCGTTCGGATTTCAGAGGAAATAGCTTGACTGTTGTCGGTGCTTCTATGCCTCGTTCCACAAAGACGCGATTCACAGTTTCTTCAGTTAGATCAGGTGGAGTATTGAAGAAGTGAACAATCTTCGATGGTGGCTGTATCCTATTTTTATTGGCCATCGCTGGATTTAAAAACCTGTCGAGTAAAGATTCTCATTTTATTTCTCATTTCATTTTTAATTCATTTTATTTTTATTTCAGGGCTAGAACTAGATTCGTAAATCCCGTAAAAGTCCTTAAATTTGCTTGAAGTCCGTAAAAGTCCGTTTTTTTAAAAGGTCCGTAAAGTGCGTAATTTGATTCAAAAAGGTTGAAAAGTTCGTAAATTGTACGATATAATTTGGATAATTTTCGAGAAATTACAAATGATTGCAGAAATTTAATTATTTTCAAAAGTAATAAAATTCTTCGCAAAAATTCAATTATGTTCAATTTTTTTTTTAAATTCTCATCAAAATTTCAATTATTTTTAGAAATAAATAAAATAATTAAATTCTTCTCCGAAATTCAATTATATATTTTTAAAAACATTTCTTCGCAAACATTCAATTAATTATTCTCAAAAATTTTATTTAAATACATAAAAAAAATTCAATTATTTTAAAAAGCCTTCCTATGATTAATTTATTAGAATTTAAGTACTATTGTCAATTCATTTTTAATTAAATTTCTGGAAAGAATTAAATTATTTTCAAATATTTTAATAAAATTGTTTTTAACAATAAATTCATTTTTTTCAAAATAATTTTAATAAAATTCTTCGTAGAAATTTAATTAATTTCAATAATTTATCAAAATTCAATTATTTTCAATATCTACTGTATCAATAAAATTTTACAAAAGAATTCAATTAGGTACTTAAAAATTCGTCTCAAGAATTCAATTATTTTCAAAAGTAATAAAATTCTTCGCAGAAATTCAATTATGGTCAAAAGTTTAAAAAAATTCTCTTCAAAATTTCAATTATCTTTATAAATAATAAAATTTTTCTCCAAAATTCAATTATTTTCAAAAATTTTAATAAAATTCTTGGAAAAATTTCTATTATTTTCAAAAATTTTTCTTAATTCAATCAAATTTTTTACAGAGATTTAATTATTTTTAATATAATTTTAATCTAATTTATCGAAAAATGAAATTATTCTTAAAAATATATTATTAAAATTCGGCAAAAGAATTTTAATTACCTATTTAAAAATTTGTTGATAAAATTCTTTAGGAGAATTCAATTTTAAGAAACATTCAATTATTCAAAAAATTAATTATTTTTGTGTGTAAATAATTAAAGTTTAGTAGAATTTTCTCATAAACATTTTTAATACAATTTGAATCGAATTTCTCGAAAAATGTAATTATTTTTAAAATTTTTATTAAAATTCGTCGAAAGAATTCAATTATTTAAAAATTTGTTTATAAAATTCTTTATAGGAATTGAATTTTAAGAAACATTCAATTATTCAATAAATTATTTATTTTTGTATTAAAATAATTGAATTTCAGTAGAATTTTCTAATAAAAATTGATTCAAAAATGAACTCCAATTAAAATTTTAGATAACAATTGAATATTAAAGGCAATATAGCGTGAATTTTTAGAAATAATTGAATTTTGAAATTAATTTTTTTGAAAAAGTTTAATTGAATTTTTTTTAATATTATTTTAAGTTTTTATTTGCTAATATTTATTTAATTGAAGAATTTACAAATAATTGAAATTTCGTAAAATTGAATATTGTAAAGAAATGGATTTGAAAATTGTTAAAGAACTTTTTCGAAAATGATTAAAAATAATCAATTTAAAGAAGAATTTTAGTTAAAAATTATTGTAAATAATAATTGAATTGTAAATGATTTTATCACTTCGAGTCGAAGACTCGGAGTTATTGATATCTTCATGTTTTATAGTTATAAAAAATTTAATTTCTAGTTTTAAGCAAAATGTTCTCTTATTTGACTCGGTCTGGTTATATTTTTATCTGTATTTAATACGTAATTTTTAATTTTTGGTCCGTAAAGTCCGTATTTTTAAATACTTTCACTGGTTCGAGCCCTGTTATGTATTTCCAAATTGTTTCTTTTCATCCAAATTTTTTAATTTTTTTGTTCTTTTTAGTTTTCTTTTACTATCAAAGATGCCACAAAAAAGCGAAAAAAACTAAAAAGTTGGTGATTATAAAGGAAAAGAAAAAATTGGTAAAATATAAAAAGAAAATATTGGTAAAATAAAAGAAGAAATTAATTAAAGAAAAATGAAAAAATTGTCGATAATAAAAGAAAAGAAAAAATTGGTAAAATAGAAAAAGAAAATATTGATAAAATAAAAGAAAAAAATAGTAAATTAAAAAAAAGAAAAAAGTTGTCAAAATAAAAGAAAAATTTGGTCAAATGGAAAGAAAGGAAAAAAATTCGCCAAATAAAAAAAGAAAACATTGGTAAAATAAAAGACGAAACAAATCAGTAATTTAAAAAAAAGAAAACAGTTGTCGAAATAAAAGAAAAATTTGGCAAATGGAAGAAAGGAAAAAAATGATAAAATAAAGAATCGCAATATCAGTCTATGAAACTAGTTGACAGTAATTGAAGCAACTAGCCTGTTGTTCTTGCTTCCTGTGAAGTCCTTGAAACTGGCTGTCTTGTCCGGTAAAATGTAAGGATTTGTGACGTCCGAAAGGAAAGCTTGCTTCGAGAATCCTAATTGAAGTTTGCCATCCGTACCAATTGTGACATTGTTCAGATTCTGCAAACACCTTTCAACAGCTATGCTGTCTCCCATTTGGATCATTGCGCAACCTTCCTTTGTTTTTAAGAATTTCACCTGTAACAGACAATGAAACACTGTTTTTTGAAAATCAATTCCCAAACTCTCCTCTCTTGAATCGTCTCATAAAATTTATACGTCGAAAAAAAGTTTCATTTTATAGTTTGAAATTTTCAAAAAAATTTATTTAAAAATTCTATTTAGGAATTGTATTCTATGTATTACTATTTTTACTATGAAAAATCGTTTATATAAAAATTTTTTCAAATACAAATTCGAAGAAATAAAAAGTCGGATAAAAGAAAATTTTATCTAGTAAAGTTCTGTAAAATGTAAATTCTAATTAATTTTTTCCGGGGCTTATTCTTGCGCCCCAAATTAATTTTCCAAAATATTTGACACAATATTGCCATAATAAAATTAGAAGTTAAAAAAAAATTAATTTCCTTTATTTGAACGATCATAAATTTGGGGGATATTAGGAAGTTGAAATTTCGAAGGAGAACAGAAATCGGAAAGAAAAATTGGCATTTTTTGTGAACGCACCTTCGTGACATTGCCGTAAAGACAGAAAAGATTGAAGAGTTTGTCGGTATTGACTTTATCGGGCTGTAATCCATAGACCATCATTACGGAACCTTGTGTACTTGTCGGCGGTGTTTGACCCAAAGTCGGCACGTAACCCGGCCGAGGTGGTGTGGGATGTAATGGCTCTCGACTTCCAAAATCACTTTTAAGTCCATATCGTTCAACGTATGGCTCCGCGTATGTCGTTGGACCATTGAAGGTCTCTTCATAACGATCATGTCCTGCGCCTGGGGGAAACGTAACTTGCGGTGTAGACCCTGGAACACGTAAACCTGAACTCAGAATTAATAAATACTGCATTTCTAAGAAAGCAAATTTTATTACATTATTATAAATTAAAATAAATAATTTAATAATTAATTCAATTCCATAATTTAATTTCAATTTAATTTCAATTTTATTTCAATTTAAATACATATTGGAAAATAAATACTTAAAATAATATTAAAAAAATTCAATTAAACTTTTTCAAAAAAATTAATTCCAAAATTCAATTATTTTTAAAAATTCACGCTTTATTGCTTGTAATATTCAATTATTATCTGAAATTTTAACAGGAGTTTATTTTTGAATAAATTTTTATTAAAAAGTTCAACTAGAATTCAATTATTTAAATACAAAAGTAACAATTTATTGAATAATTAATTGAATTAATAATTAATAATTGAATTGAATTTTATCAACAAATTTTTAAATAATTGAATTCTTTCGACGAATTTTAACAAAATTTTTAAGAATAATTACACTTTTCGAGAAATTCGATTAAAATTGTATTAAAAATAATTGAAATTCTGCAATGAGTTTTATTATTTGTGAAAATAATTGAATTCTTAAGAAGAATTTTATTACTTTTGAACAATATTTAATTTTTGCGAAGAATATTATTACTCTTGAAAATAATTGAATTTTTGTAATAATTTGTAACTTTTACAAAATTGAATTTTTTTTCGTGTTTTTAATTAACAATCTTCTGTAAATTCATTATTTTTAGTAATTTTTGAAAAAGTTCTTTAAGAATTTTCCTATTTATATGTTTACAATTCAATTTTATAAAATTTCAATTATTTGTAAATTCTTCAATTAAATATATATTAGAAAATAAAAACTTTAAATAATTACAAAAAAATCTGAAATTTAAGTTTCTCAAAAAAATTAATTCCAGAGAATTGTTAGTTAAAAATATGAAAAATTCAAATTTTTAAAGATTTTAATCTGAAACCTTTTCAAAATTTAATTATTTCTAAAAATTTACTCTCTAATGCTACTAAAATTCAATTATTATCTAAAATTTTAACTGAAATTAATTTTTAAATCAATGTTTATGAAAAGAGTCTATTAAATTTCAATTATTTACACACCAAAATAATTAATGTTTTGAATAATTGAATGTTTCTTAAAATTGAATTCTCATAACGAATTTTATCAACAAATTTTTAATAGGTAATTAAAATTCTTTTGCCGAATTTTAATAACATATTTTTAAGAATAATTTCATTTTTCGAGAAATTAGATTAAAATTATATTAAAAATAATTAAATCTCTGTAAAAAATTTGATTGAATTAAGAAAATTTTTTGAAAATAATTGAATTTTGGAGAAAAATTTTATTATTTATAAAGATAATTGAAATTTTTAAGAGAATTTTTTTAAACTTTATAACCATAATTGAATTTCTGCGAAGAATTTTATTACTTTTGAAAATAATTGAATTCTTGAGACGAATTTTTAAATACCTAATTGAATTCTTTTATAAAATTTTATTGATATGGTAGATATTGAAAATAATTGAATTTTGATAAATTATTGAAATTAGTTAAATTTCTACGAAGAATTTTATCAAAATTATTTTTTAAAAAATTGAATTTTTTAAAAAGAATTTCATTAAAATTTTTAAAAATAATTTAATTTTTTCAAGAAATTTTATTAAAAATGTATTGACAATAATACTTAAATTCTAATAAATAAATTATAGAAAGGCTTTTTAAAATAATTGAATTTCTTTGATGAAGTTTAATAAAACTTTTAAGAATAATTACATTTTTCGAGAAATTCCATTAAAATTGTATTAAAAATAATTGAAATTCTGCAATGAGTTTTATTATTTATGAAAATAATTGAATGATTGCGAAGAAATTTTTAAAAACATTTGTAAATAATGAAATTCCTGTAAAAGTTTTATTATTTTTTGAAAATACATAAATTTTTGTTTAAATAATTGAATTCTTTTGGAAAATTTTATGAAAATAGTAGATATTGAATTGAGGAAGCTTTTTGAAAATAATTGAATTTCGGAGAAGAATTTAATTATTTCTAAAAATAATTGAAATTTTGATAAGAATTTGAAAAACTTTTTGAACATAATTGAATTGTTGCGAAGAATTTTCCAGGTGAAGATTTTTTTCTCCTGCATCAAATTAACAATTTTTATTAGCACATTTTATTTGCACACTTAATTTTCTATGAAAAAATTTTCTTAAATTTTTAAATTCTGATCAAAAGAAATGTTTCTCTTCGAAATAAAAATTATTGAAAAGTGAATTTCAAATGAATAATGATAACAGTTAAATTTTTTATTGGACAGATTTCAAAAAGTTGCAAAGTTTTAATTAACTTAGAGGAAGCTCCCTCTCGCCTAAAGCAAAAGCTACGAGTTTCATTAACAGTCTTGAAAAAATAATTGGCTTGTATAAATAAAGAAATGTTTTTACTCTCCCGAAGGCAGTTTCTCTATAATATATTGGAAAAATAAATTTATAAATAAATTTCTCCAAGTATTTTGAGGACAAATTTTTAGATTTTAGAATGATAATAATAATTTTTCTGATTTACGATTTTTTATTAATTATTTTATTATAAAATTTTAAAATTATTTAAAAAAATATTATTAATTATTTAAAATTATTTTAAAATTTTATTATTTATTAAATTATTAATTATTATTATTATCACGAGCCTCTGATCGACATTTTTCGAATTTTTTCCAAAAACAGGATTATCTTTAAAAAAAATTTAATAACATTCTAAAAAATATAAAATTTATCTTAATAAAATTCTTTGAAGGAATTCAATTATTTAAAAATTTTTTGTTGAATTTTTTTTAGGAATTCAATGATTTTCAGTGTATTAATTTTAAAATTGAAAACATAAAATGAAAAAATATTATTATTAATAACCAAAGGAAGGATTTACTACAATTTAGGAAAATAAAAAATGATTATTAAATTATTAATTTAATTAATTAATGAAATTGAGAATTATTTATTTATTAAATTGAACTTACCGTATGGTTGTGGTGCTGCTCCATACCTGGGCTCTGCTAAAAGTGGAGCTGGTCTTCCATTTCCCGTTGCGTCATTTTTATGCGTGCTTGATCCTGGAACAAAAAGGATTTCAACATTATTATAATTATTCTTATTATTAAAATTATTACTACAATAACAAACTTTCCTTACTAAAAGGAAAAGTTCTCTATGCTTAATTAAAGAAATAATTTTACCAGAAAATTTCCAAGTGGAAAGTTTCTATTCCAAGCATATATAATTAACAAAAAAAAGGTGAGAGAGCGTAATTTTTTAATTAACACGCATTAATTATTAATGTTCATATATAAATATTTATGTATTAATATTCGAATATGAATATTTATGTATAAATATTCGAATATTAATATTTATGTATTAAAATTCAAATATTAATATTCACTGAAAAAAATGTATTTAATTCAAATAACAGACAACTTGTCAATTACCAAATAAATATTTACTTGAATCAAATAATTTTTCATTAAATCAATTAAATGCTTCAGTTCATATTTGCTTCAAATACTGAAATAATTGATTCAATTATTTAAAAATAAAAATAAAAAATTTAATAATAAAAATAAAAATTATTTGAATCAAATAAATTTTCTTTTCAGTGTTCAAATATTAAATGTCCAATTTAAAAAAAATTAAAAATAAACGAAAAAATTTTTAAAAGTAGGTAAAATTATTATAAAATGTTGAGAGAAGAAATTTTTCACACAAACTGAGTCTTTTTTCCAAAGGAAAAAAAATATTTCGCTAAAGAAATTTTTCATCGTACGAACTCACGATAAACGGGTCAGCGAAAAATTGATAAACAAAATTTAAAGTATTGCACGATTCACATATTTCCTTTGCTTTCAATTGATACATTTTTATTTTGTGGACTTTTTTATGGAATAAATATTATATTTATTTTTAAAGCGAAATTTATAGGGAATAAATGTAATATAATATATTTATATAGAAATATTATTAGACGTGGAAAATTCCATCATTTTCCAGATATAATAGAAAAACGACACTGTTCACTTTTGAAATATTTTTCAAAAATATTTATTTTTTCCTTTATTATTATTCTATTTTTTTGAAATTTAAATTTATTTTTCTTTTATTTATTTTTTTCCATTTGTATTTGTATTTTTATTTTTATCATTATTATTATTATTATTTATTATTATTAGTATTTATTATTATTATTATTATTGTTTATTATTATTATTTTTTTTCTATTTTTTCCATTTTCTTTTATTTTTTTTATCAAATGCAATTATTTTAGAAAAGCAAATTAGAACTTGTGTGGCTCTTTTCGTCTAATTTTGTAACCTGCCTGGTCATAAATATGTTGCTTTGGAGATTGTGACATGTTTCGAAACAGTCCGTTAATCAATCGCGAGAAGTAATACATATAAAGTCACTCGGTCATTTCGACAGTCAATTTTAGCAGCGCTCAAATTGGTCAACTCTCCTCTCTCACTCTCTATATAGCGTTAGAATTGTGAATTTCTTGCTGTTTATAAAATCGTCGATATTTCATTCGCTTCATTTTTCGATTTTAATTTAGTTTTAATTTTAAAATCAACTATATAATCAGAAATTTTTTTTTACAAATTTTTCAAGCGAAAATATAAGAAAAATTGGCTTTTCAAAACGTCAAATTTCAAATCTGGAAAAATCAAAGTATAATTTGTCACTAATTGCAAAAAAATAAATATCAAACTTCTCTCGGGTTTTCCAATTTTTTTATTTATTCTTTTTTTTTTATTTGAAATTCGAATCGAAAAAATTTATCGTTTTAACTTTTACAGGATTGGAAACAAAATTTTTTTTTCTCGAAATATTTACTTCATTCTAAATAATCAGCTACTCGATTCTATTCTTTTTTCTTCATTGCAAAAAAATCTATTTACTTGAAAATTGTTTCAACAAAAAGCTAATATTAAAAAAATCGGAAAAATAAATATTTTTAGAAATGAAAAAAACTATAATTTAGAGCTTATTAAAGGTTCTTGAACTATGGAGTCATTCAACTTTTATTTTATTTGTTTATCACTTTTTTTCATAAATAAAAAAAAAAGTAAAAAAAAAAAATGTCAGCACAAAATTATAGAGAAAGCCAATCGATAAAGCACCAATTTTAAAAATGCATACACTATAATTTACAGCTCTTCAACCGAAAGTCGTTTAATTTTTATGTATTTTTTTATTTTTTCCCTATTTTTAGCAGCATGGAAAAAAATCAGCAAAAAAGTATAACATTTTCCTTCTTTTTTTCAATTTATATATACTTTTTTCCCTATAAATTTTGGATTCATTATTATTTAAAAGTCTTTTGTATTTTATCCGCTTATGTAGAAAATAAATAAATAAACAAATATTATATTCCTAAAAAAAATCTCTTCCTTTATTACATTCCTAAAGTTTCGAACGTTTAAATGAACGACGATATTTTTTCACTTCTTTTAATTTGTATTTTTCTTTAAACAATTATTTTTATTGATTTGTATTTTTTTATTAAAGAAATTATTTTGTATATTAAAAAATCTTTGCTTAAGTAAATGTTAAACTTTAATTATTATTTTTTTGGGAATTTTTTTCAAATATTGAAACAGAAAAATTCGTTTATTTGAAGGTTCAAAATTTTTATGTTGCTACCTATTTGAAATAAATTCCAATTTTAATAAAAAATAATTTTTATGAGAAAAAAAATTTAAACTGATTTAATTCAATTTTAAAAAATCGAAAACTTTAAAAATAAATTTTTTCTATATTTTCTCCTATAAATTTAAAATGTATTAAGCTTTTTCGCATTATTATTATAAAAAAATTCGATCTTATTTAAAACAAGGAAAACTATCAAAAACATTTTTCTTTTTTTTATTATTCTTTTTTTATAAATTTAACTAATTAATTAAATTTTTAATTAAAATATTTTATTTAATTAATTAAATTCATTGTTAAAACAATGGTTCTTTATTCTTTTGTAATTTCATGCGTCTTTGTAGTAAATAAATAAATAAATAAATAAACAAAATAAAAATTGACATTACTGGAAATAAATATAATTATATATATATATATAATTATAATAAATAAATTATTTCATTCAATTTTTAATTAGATAGAAAACAATTAAAAATTATTTGATTCACGTAATCGGTTGTTTGAATCAAATAAACTTTTTTTTTTAAGTGTAATTAAAAATGGAATTAAATAAATTAAAATTTTTTTTTGTAATACCTAACAATTATTATTTTTTCTATAAATTCCAAATTTATAGTAAAAAATTTAGAAAATAAATTTTTTTTAAACATTTTTCAATAGCAATTATTTTTTGTTAAATTTTCTTTTAACTGGCAATTTATTTCTTTACTACACAAGCGAATAAAATACAAAACAACCTTTAATGCCAATAAATTCTAAATTTATAAGAAAAAATATAGAAATTTTTTTTAATAGTTTTCGATATCTAATTAAAAATGGAATGAAATAAGTTTTAATTTTTTTTTCTAATAACAATATTATTTTTTGTTCAGACTCTAATTTAATTCGAATAACAATTGCAATGTTTATTTATAAGAAAAAATACAGAAAACAAGAAAATGTTAAAACATTTTTGATCTAATTAAAAATTGAATTAAAATAAGATCGATTTTTTTTTACATTAAAAAATTATTTTTTGTTAAATTTTCTTTTTACTGGCAATGTCAATATTTATTTATTTACTACACAAGCGGTTGAAATACAGAACAACCTTTAATGCCAGTAAATTCTAAAATAGGAAAAAATTTTCTTTTTCAGTGCAGTTTGAAAATTACTAAAAAAAAAAAAAAATAACGTCAGAAAAGTTAAAAAAAAAAATTCTCCTTTCCACAGTTTAGAAAATATAAATTATCTTTTGAAAAAAGTTTAGGAAAGCTCGCAGTGTCCGGTGCTCGAACCGTATGAAAACTCGTTATTCTCAAGTTGAAAAGCGTTTATATGAGCTTTCATGAATGAACATTATTGCGAATCAATATCGATTTTACAGAGAGAAAAAGAATCCTGAGAAAATTGCCACTATAAGTTTTTGAAGAGTACGTGGCCAGCCACTTTTGCCATTCATAAACGACTCTCTCTCTCTCTCACTCTCGCTCACTCTCTTTTACTTTCTCCCTATTGCTCTTAGCGGTTATTATGAATTGAAAATTGACACTCAAGAGACGTTATATTTGAAGCTTTTTATTTGAGCCATTATATCAGTTGGAGAAAGTCGTAAATTCTTGATTCTCACGAGAGCCACAGAGATGGTTGATGGCTATAGAACTAGGCTGTATCGACCTCCAGAGTCGCCACGCAGACTACCACCGCGCACCCCATAAACTATAGAGTGCATAACACACTACTAGTATCTGCACAGTTTCTCTGTATAAATTTCGATAGTTCAACCGCATGAGACAATATGCTTTTTTCTATATATATATTTAATTTCACCTCGATATCTCTCAAATATTGCATGTGTTAAATATTTAAACAAACAAAAAAATATATGATTTTCGATATTTTTTTAAAAGCAAACGGAATATTTTTTTCAGAATAAAAAATTTCTTCCATTAAAAAAGCAAAACTGCGTACTTTAATGAAAGAAATTTTAACAAGGATGAGGATCATCACGGTGTATTTTTTCTCTCAAATAATGGTTAAAAATGAGAAATATTTTCGAAAAAATTCACTGAAGAAAAAATTTATTTAATTCAAACAACACAGTGAGAAAAAAAATTTGATTCAAATAATTGATTAGCAATTAAATATTTAATTGAATCAAATAATTTTTATTTAAATCAAATAATTTTTGCTTCGAATACTGAAATTATTGGTTCATATATAAAAATTATTTGAGTACTCAATTAATTGATTCATGAAAATATTTATCCTATTTTTAAATAAACAACTAAATTAAAAATTATAAAATTTTAAATTCTTTTCACAAATTCAAGTATTTTCAAACACTTTCTTTTCAATTCTCATAAACATTTCAATTATCTTTATAAATAACAAAATTCTTCGCCGAAATTCAATTATATTCAGGAAT